GGGGCAGAAAGTGACCAACTCTTTGAGCGTCCATTCACACCCTTCCTCCTGGGTAGAGGGAGGGAGATGACATGCTGCCTCTAAGGAAGCATGGGAATATGTGCTGCACCCTGTGTGGTTCTACTCTGCTCTTCTGTAGCCTGATGGAAGATTCTTTCCCTGCCTTCACGGACATCTCTAGAGCATGGCTGTCTAACTTCAAAGTGGTCAGATGCCAAATATCCCTGGGCTGCACCACCATGAGACATGGGCCAGACCAGGTAAAGCCATAGGCAGCACACTGTGGGTGCATCCAGATGAGTACAGTTGTGCAGTATGTGGTGCCACAAACACGTTTGCAGAACCACATACTGCACAACCTGGATGTTCTCTGTGCTACAAGGGTGCGCTGCCCGAGTGTGCACTGCTGGGTTTTTGTTTCTGTGGGGTTTTTTTGACCCTTGGATATTCGGGGTAAAAACCCACAGGAAAAAAAAAACAAAGCAGCTCATGGCTGGGCAGCGTGTGCTGCTGAAAAGCGGAGCCAGGCTGCTAGAGCTGTGCTGTGACTGCTGGCCAGGCTCTGCCTGGCAGGATCCCTGTGGCTGTAGCCCCGAGAGATCCTCAGGACCCCAGGTAAGGTTGCTGTGGGCAGCACAGTGCCAAAAAAGGTTGGTCCCCACTTCTCTAGAGAATGTCTAGGGATTTAAACCTTGTTGCTGTCCTATACAGAGCTGTACTAAACCTCAAAGATAAGGGGGCTTCAGTGTCATAATTCCTGAGTTATACATAAGTGTGAATTTTCCCGGTATTTTACAAATAAGGATAATACATGTTGTTTACAAACTAAAAAACAAAAGAACCTAAGCACTTAAAGCAAATAGGCCTAAGCACTGTCAGAAGCTAGAGCTAGATCAATGATGGACAGAGCAGGTACATGTAACTCAATCAGTTCAGTTGGGTCAACGAACAGTTATAAAAACCTGTTCAAAAGGGAGTGCTGAAAATATTGAAACCAGACAAAACTTAAAATAGTTGTTAAATAGTAGTTAATTAGTAGTTAAAATCTACTTTTCAGACAAAACAGCAGTGTCTAGATTGTTTTACAAATATTATAAAAGCATTTGGCATGCTATTTAATTGAGCAAGAATGAATAGCAAGCAAGTTGCTTTTAGTATTTATACCGATGTCAGGATTTGGGGAGTAATTTTCTATGGTTAAAATATTAAGAACATGACACAGAACAGCAATACAGGCAGAGGACCTCCAGTATATTATTAGAGGAATAATGAAGAACAAAACTGTTATACAGGCTTTCAAAACAATTATGTAATCTAATTGTTTGAGGGCAATTTTCAAAGACAACAAACCTAATTTGGTTAGGAGATCATCAAAATGATCTAACACCAAAGCAAAGCTCTTTTCTACAGCTGCTGTTTTTTTAAAAGATGGATTTCCTTTCAAAGATTTTTTAAAAACTTTGCCATAGCTAAGTCTGCCTGATGCATTTAGTTATTCCAGGTGAATTGCTCATTTTTCCTCTGTCGATTTTGTATACAATAATGAAGCTGCTTTTAATATAACTGTTACATGCCTTGCTTTCTACTTGTCTTCAGACTAACACACTAACTACCTCTCTTTTACATCTGTATTAGTTCAACTTATGAGGATAGGCTTGATTTATAATTACAGGCTAACTTAAGATAACAACCTGAAAGAATCAGAATTATTTAGTTTGCAGAAGAGACTGAGGGGGGATTTGGTAACAGTCTTCAAATACCTGCGGAGTAGTTACGTGAAGAATGGAGATAGGCTATTTTCTGTCACCAGAAGGGTCAAGGGCAGGAAGCAATGGTCTTAAATTGAAGTAAGGGAAACTGAGGTCGATCTTTGAACTTTTACATCGCAATCTGTAAAATGTGGTGAGCAGTGTAGTTTTCACACACTTAACTTGGAATGGTCTAGTCAAAGATGTTTCTGCCTTGATCTAGATGACCTCATGAAATCCCTTCCAAACCTAGCTGTCCCTACCTGTACTATGATTCTATGATTAGTTCATTCAAAAGGGAAGCATTTCAAATACACGTTAAACAACATTCTTTACATAAACTTACTATCACAATAAAAGTAAAAAATATTGTAGGTGTAGTATCATTAAGCTATTAACTTATATACCTATGTAATTAACTTAACTAACTTACAAAAATTAATTTTAAAAATAGTTTGAAAGTTGAGAGGAAAAGGCCCACAGCTGTCTGGCATCTCCTGTTATCAGAGCACGTATTGGCAACCCTGGCATTTTCTAAAAAGTCAAGAGTGCACGATAGCAGACTCGCATAGAAGGGAAAAATGCTGCCATGCCTTTAAAGTACAGTTTCTCCTCTCAACCCCAATCTTCCCATCTGTCATGGACTAGCATGGAAGGCTCTCTTTAAATATGATGTATAGTTCATAACTACTCATGAGGATAAATTAGTAAGATAGTTGTTCTGTTTAAAGTGCTCAAGTGCCTTCGAAATGCTCCTAACAGTCAGTGTGCAGATGTTCACAAGTGAAGAAACACTTCCTGACATGTCTACATTCTCCAATGGTTCTCTGGCATCCCATGATGCTCTGCCCACCCTCCTACCTCCAAGGGGAATGGTGTGGGGCAGACAGCCAATGAGTGCTGTCCTGTGCACTTGGCTGCTCTTGGGAAACTCCAGAGACCAGATGCTAGGAAGCACTGAAGGGATTACTTATCGCCAGGTCCCTGGTTGGAGAGCAGTCCTGCTACATGCCTTCACTGACGTTTTGAGGTGCTTGGGGGGGGGGGGGGGCGGCTGTTTTACAAACAAAACCCCCTCAATTTGAAATGTTTTTAGATTT